AGGGTGGTTCATCCCAAATTGGTAAGAAATCTAAATCTCCTATTATAGAAAATAATTTTACAAAGAGGAAAGACAAAAAAACAGAGAAATGGTATGCAAGTTGCAATCATTGCAATAAGGAGTATAGCTTGGGAACTTCCGGCGGATACGGGAGCCTCACAAGGCATCTTAAGTCCGCGCACTCGGTGGAGTATGCGAAAATATCGAAAGACAAGGGGACGCAAACTCAAATATCGAGGTTTGCAAATGACCAACCTTTTGGTAATTTCTCATACAATGATGCACAAAATTTGACTGGTATGGCTAACTTGTTGAAGAAAATTTACCTTATTTGTTTGCTGAAAGTCTTTCTTTTAAAGATTATGCACAAACTTGTTTATATCCTCAATTTAGAGGTTATAGTTGCAAAACGGTTTAGAAAGAAATTATAAGACTTTATCGTGCGAAAAAGGCAAGGTTACAAAATTTTTTTGCAAGCTTTGATGGGCGTGTTACTATTTGTTCTGACATATGGGAGGATACTTATCATAATTTACATTATTTGGGTTTGACTGCACATTTTATTGATGATGATTGGAATATGCACAAACGTGTTCTTGCTTTTCGTGAATTTAATGATCGTCACACCGCTGAACATATTTATATTTTGATTGAGCGTATTTTAATTGAGTATAATTTGATTGATAAGGTGTTTGCTATAGGTTTTGATAATGCTACTAATAATACTGTTGTTGTACCTAGATTGCGTGAATTGTGTGGTTCTAATAATTTGATGGGTAGATTTTTTCATCAACGATGTGCATGCCATGTTATAAATTTATGTGTGCAAGACGGTCTAAAAGCGTAAGGAGATGCTATGGAGGTAGTCAAGGGGGGATTAGACGTATTTGGGCTAATGGTCAACTTAAATTAAAATGGAAAAATTATTTGACTGAAAGAGGTGTGAAATATGTTGCTTTTCTTAAAGATTTGTCTATTCGTTGGAATAGTACTTATAAATTAATTAAAGTTCTTCTTAGATATAAAGAACATTTTCCCATTTTTTTAAAACAATATGATAACTACATTTTAAACTCCGCTCACATCGACACTTGCGAAAAAATTTGTAATGTTTTGATATTTTTTAATAATGCAACTGAAAGTTTTAGTCATGTTTATAAACCTACCTCAAACCAATTTATTCGTGAAGCTGTTAATCTCGCCGCTGCTTTTAATGAATTTGAGAATGCCGCTTACGTGAGTTATTTTATGGTTTTATGAAGGAAAAGTTTTTAAAATATTATACACATATTCCGCATATTTATGGTATTGCATTTATTCTCGATCCTCGTTTTAGACTTGATAATTTGGAAGAATGTTTCAAGTTCTATTATCTTGCTTTTTTTGGTCCATATCCAATGTATGACGATAACCCGATAGATCCGCAAATAGAATACAACGAGGTTAGTACTTTATTTTATGCCTTATTTAATGAGTTTCATGCACAATATGATAACGCGCCCCCTCCCTCAACACAAACATCTTCATCTAAAGGAAAATCATTTTTTAAATCTGCATTTGGCAATCTTATGAAAAAAATAAAACAACTCACGCTACTGAACAAAGCTCAGTTAATGAGTTTTTTTTTGTATTAAACATATGACGTTGATTTTGAAGAAAATGATGACTTTGACGTTCTAAAGTGGTGGAAGTCAAAAGAAAGAATGTTCCCGATTTTAGCACGGATGGCTAAGCAAGTGCTATCAATGCCGGTTTCAACAGTTGCCGTGGAACAAGAATTTAGTTCGGCCAGCAACGTCCTAACGGCATCTAGAACGAGTTTGAGCGCAGAGTCTCTTGTGACGCTTTTATGCTACCACGATTGGTTGAAGGCCATACATAGAACTCAAGAAATTTGCATCACCTCCGCCCAAGACTTTATGGATGAATCAACAACCGATGATGGCTCTACCTATGCCGGAGATTCCGATTGATTAGTATTTTACAATTTATTATAAAATGTGTTCATGTTTTAATTTTTCCCTCAAATCTCTATTGTAATTTGTAAACTTGTAGTTCATATTTCAAATAAATATACATTCATTTTTTTTATATGTAGCACTTCTCAAATTAATTAATTGATTACAAACTTACAACTTAGAATTAATTATATTGTTATTTATTAGAAAATGTATTTCATATTGTATTTTTGTCTTCAATTTTCAAATGTAGTTCCTATTTCACATAAATGCACTTGAAGCTTGTTTTTAATATGCAAAAGTTGTATAAATAAGTAGAAAAGGAAAAAAATATATATAGGCCCGACCCGAACCGGCGGGTGGCCCGGCCCGAGACCCGGGCGGGTGACCCGGCCCGCACCGGCACCGGCACCGGCCTCAGAGCGGTCCGGGCTCGGGTCTGCTCCCAACATTCCTGGGCCCGACCGGGCCTAAGCCCGGCCCGGCCCGGGTCCACGCCTACCTAAACCCAGCCCAAACCCAAAAAAACAAAAACAAAACAAGGCCCGAACCGGGCCCAGCCCGGCCGGTTCGTCTTTTCCATGCCCCGGAATCGCCCCCGGTTACCCCTCGGGCCGAGCCTAGGCCCGGAAGTGGTTCCTGGTTCCCGGGCCAGTCCAGTCCCACACAGTACCGGGCCGGGCCGGTCGGCCCGAACCAGGTCCATGACTAATTACTCCTATTTTGGGAATAAAGAAGATCACAATCCTATTTTGGAATTTTCAAACTGTTTTAGTCCTATTTCAGGAACTTTCCCTAAAACAAAATTATGTTCTTTCGAAATAATGATAAAGAAATATCGAAAATCTATTAGTTGTCAAGAAACGTTAACAATTTTTAAACACCAGTAGTTCACCTAGGGGTGGACTCGGGCCGGTTCGGGCCCGGTTCGGGCCCGGTTCGGGCCTCGGGCCAGGAAAGTTGGGCCCGAGCCCGAACCGCCAGTGGGCGGTTCCGGTTCCGGGCCAAACCGGGCCGGGCCGGGCCTAACCGGTTATATTTTTTTTTTTTTTTTTTTTTGGCTCTTCTATTTAACCCCCAACCCCTCCCCCTCAACCCCAAACCACCCCAAACCACCTCAAATGGCCCAAAATACCTAATCCAACCCAAAACTTAAAAAAAATTCAAAAAAAAAAAAGAAAAAAAATTAAAAATCGGCCCGAACCGGGCCCGAACCGGCCGGGCCGGTTCGCCAAAACCTGGGCCCGAGCCCGAACCGCCCAGCGGCCGGGCCGGGCCGAACCGAACCGGTGGACCCACCGGGCTCCGGGCCGGGTCGGGTCAAACAGTAACCGGGCCGGGCCGGGCCGGTTCCGGGCCGGGCCGCCCGGCCCGAGTCCACCCCTAAGTTCACCTAATCTCCTTTATACCGGCACAACACTCAGTAAAAGTAAAACGCTACATTTTAAAAAGTACTTGAAAGTTTACCCCAACATCCTTTTAATGAAGAACATATCTGAGCATCTCCAATGATATAATGTCCACGGTGCACATGTGGCATGAGTGATAGCCACATAATTATTAACAAATAAATTATTTCTCTCCTTATTTGAATGATTTTATGCACTTTTGGTAAGTTTTTCCCTGCAATGTCAACAACAATGTCAACATTTGACGGTCTCCTTGACATTGTGGAGAAAAACTTACCAAAACTGTATAAAATCATTCAAATAAGGAGAGAAATAATTTATTTACTAATATTTATGTGGTCATCTTTCATGCCACGCGTGCACCGTACACATTGTACCATTGAAGATGCTCTAATCCGTCCTTGCAAGTAGGGGTGGACTCGGGCCGGGCGGCCCGGCCCGGTTACTGTTTGGCCCGGCCCGGTTACTGTTTGGCCCGGCCCGGCCCGGGGCCCGGTGGGTCCACCGGTTCGGCCCGGCTGCTGGGCGGTCCGGGCTCGGGCCCAGTTTTTGGTGAACCGGCCCGGTTCGGGCCGGTTTTTAATTTTTTTTTTATTGATTTTTTTTTAAGTTTTGGGTTGGATTAGGTATTTTGGGCCATTTGAAGTGGTTTGGGGTTGAGGGGGAGGGGGTTAAATAGAAGAGCCAAAAAAAAAAAAAATAGAACCGGTTAGGTCCGGCCCGGCCCGGCCCGGCCCGGTTTGGCCCGGAACCGGAACCGGAACCGCCCACCGGCGGTTCGGGCTCGGGCCCAACTTTCTTGGCCCGAGGCCCGGCCGGGCCCAGGCCCGAACCGGGCCGAGTCCAGGTCTACTTGCAAGTCAATCTCAACTCTTAGATTCATCTAGGGCTGGATTCGGGCCGGGTCGGGTCCGGGCCAAGCCTAGGCCCGGGCGGGCCGCCGGTTCTAAATAGGTGGGACCGGGCCCGGGCCCGGCCGAGGTAGCCACCGGGTCCGGGACGGGCCTCGGGTCAATTTTTTTTTGCCTTTTCCTAATTAACCCCCTCCACCCCCAACCCACTCCAAATAGCCCAAAATACCCAGCCCAACCCGAAAAGTAAAAAAAAATTGAAAAAAAAAATTAAAAAGCCCGGAACCGGGCCCAAACCGACCGGGCCGGTTCGCCTTATGGGTGACCCGAGCGCGCACCGGGAACCCCCCGGGCTGGGCCCAGTGGCGGATCTCGCAACTGGAAGTTGGGTGTTCGAATAAATTCATGGTTAAAATATTACACAATAATGTTTTTTGATCCCACAATTGAAGAAACATAATTTTTTCAACAACAAAAAACTAGCAAAAGGGTTAAGAGTAAAAAAAATTATATAAAAATACAATACATAAATTATTATATCAATTCTATACATGTATTTTTACATTTTATTTTCAAAATTTTGGGTGTTCGCCTGAACACCCTTGAACAAAGCAAGTCCGCCACTGGCTGAGCCTACCCAGACCGTCACTGGCCAGGCCACCAGGCTGGGCCGGTTCAGCACAGTACCGGTCCCGGGCCGATTCCGGGTCGGGCCACCCGGCCCGAGTCCAAGACTTCATTCATCCATTCATGGGGAAATTATCATATATCCTAAAATACGTTTTTGGACCGTAACGAGATATATAGATTATAGACCATAACGAAGATGCAACAAAATTGATTTGCAAAAACACTCGAGTAAAAGGTTACAACAGTGTCCAGTAGGGTGGGGGAGGGGGGGTATATATTCTGGGATTTTATGTATTTATGTTGGTCACTTGGTAAGGAACTAAGGATGGTGGGTGAAGGCATTTACACAGAAAAAGAACATCTAAACGTTATCGGACGCATCATCTACTTGCAACTCTTCAGGCTTGTTAGCACCAGAAGTGATCCTCTCAGATGCCACAAGTCTTTCTTCAAGTGCCCGCGCACCTCTTTCCCTGCAATTTATGTTACCATGTTTTTGCTTATACAAATCATTAGGAATACTAATTTCAAACAAAATACTGCCCTCATATAATAGCAAGAACAAATGGCTTATTCTGCTCAACCTTTGACCTTGTGATTCGCTTGGATCGAATTTACCCAATGTTTTCCATTCAATAAAAAATAAGCTGATTCAACCATTTCTCCCAAATAATATCTATTAAGAAGAGTCTACTAAACGAGGTCTAGGCTTTCATCCTATGAGGGGACAATATGTAAATTGAGTATGAGTTGCCAAATAGATGCACTTAACTTTTAATATACCGGATGTCACTACACAGTTCATAAATGACTTCTTCTGAGTTTGAATCCCTATTTTCTTCCTCAAAGTTGACAGTAAAAACTCTATGGAAAAGAAATATGGCATGACCCCAAATAAAGTGGTGTTTTGCTCTTGTGAATAAACCAGGACAAATTAAACCCTACCTTCGAACCAGACACGCTGTTATGCTTTTTTGCATATAGGGTAATGGGAAAGTATGGCTTTTTGAAAGAGTATCTACAACTTATTAGATTACCTTCGCCTAGATGCTTCAATAGGGTCAGAACCAGGCAATGGGATGGCACCTAAAGTATATCCATCTATCTCTTCATTTGATGCTTCAGATCTTTTACCACACAACATTCGATCGAATATAGTACCAATGGGATCAATCACGGGTCTGCATGAACATCCACAAAACAAGAGAACACAAATAACAGGATCTGGTGAAAAGAAAAACAACTTCCAAATAACTTTTCTTCCTGACAATATTCAAATTCAAGACTACCTCAAAAGATGGGGGAAAAATGTTGAGAACGCAAACTCATCACTTGGATCACCCTTGAGTTTTGTTTCTGGTTTCCTCTGCCAGTATCTGAGGTGAACCCATCCTATGTATGTGCCAAACACTGAAGTTGGAAGGTATGAAGCTGAATCCTCCGTGAAAAAACTTATAGCAATACACACCAGCAGTGCAAGAGAAGGCAACCACTGTAAATGACCCAAAGGAGAAAAGAAAACAGTTAGAAATATCTTTTTGCTCATTAAAATACTACATTCCTATCTATCAGCTATCTATCTATCTTTGTTGACGAAATGTTAGTTCATATACATGTGTCCTTTACTCCTTTTATGAAATCTGTACACATTAAATACTACTTTCAACGATTTTTTTCTACACTAATATATACTTGCTCCGTTCTTTAATAGTTGCAACATTGTGGTTTTTGCACTATTCACACACCTTACTTTGACCATGATTTTCTACTAATATATATAATCAACTTATTATGTATAAGATGTTATTAAATTTCTATTAATGTGAATTTCCAAAATATTAGCTTTTTTTTAATGTTTACTAATACGCAATTAAATATAATTACAGTCAAAGTTGTGCGTTGGCACACGTGAAAGTCAAATTGTTGCAACAATTAAAGAATGGGGGATAGTATTAAGTTGGAAGTACATAGTTCTAACGTATTAAATGAGGGCATTTAAGTTCACAACTAGGGTGTCGATTACTAAACTACTTGAACATATTTTCCCAAACAGGGGATTTGAGGTCAATGAAGATAGATAAATAAGAATTGAAGAGGAAATCTTGAGATTATACCTTCGCTTTTAGTTTCAGAAATGACACCTCTTCGTTGGGCATGATTTGTTTTATGCCCACTAAGAAACCATAAAGGACCCCTTGGAAGCCGGAAATAGGCAGATAACTGTTGATCAAGTCTTTAACAGTTAATCATCACCTTCAAAGGACGATGGCAGAAGTAAAAGCATAATATCGTATCATATTAGGACAAAAAAAGAAAATGCGGAACACAATACATGTCAATCAAGAAAATGAGACATTAAGGATTAAACATATTTACGAACAAACAGTATCTTTAACCATAAAACTTACGAGAATGGATGGAGAACACACACTAGAAACGAGAGAAAAGCATGTGCAATAAATTGGACAGTGAGATTCATAGATGTGGCTAAAAATCACTTCTAGATATAGAAAGGACCATGCATCACTTACAGGTAGCTTTCCAGTCTCGTTATGTAGTATAATGAGATAGCTGTAATAAAAACACAGACTGCAGTCAAAAAGTTGACAATGAAGATAAACTTCATAAATTCCTTAGAACCCCAGATAGGCTCAAGCAGCTTTCCCATGAAAAGAAGCCCAATAATACTGACAATCACCTATATATAAATAACAAAGTTCATAAAAGTATTAGAAGGGGAAGACAATTTGGCAAACAAGCTAAAGGAGAAAATTAGATCCACCTTTCCTAGAAAAGTAAATGTCATTTAACATACCCCATATAAGGACTGTTCAATATAACCAGCTGTGACAAGATTCCATGCGAAGGGAATTGTCCTGCACATCAAGTGTTCCATTGAAATAAAAAAATGAAAATCCAGACCAGAAAAAACAAAAGTTCAGGATTGGAAAAACACAGTATAGTGCATGCATCTCCCATCTCACATTTCAGAAATTATAACATGAAGTCCTGCTAGGTAAACTGGAAGTATCTTTCATATATTCAAACATTATAGTGAAAGATGGTGATAATAGCATCTCAAACCCAGACTTCAAGTATACTCTGCACACGATCACTAGCATTGCTACAATCCCTAAAAGAACAATACTCCCTTAGTAACCAATATAATCCAAGCCTGATGATCTTGGGTCTATCTAAGCTAAGCAATTCAAGCAACCACCATATGGAGTTATTTTTGCTAGGCCATGATAGATAATTCAACCAAGACTCCCCTTATTTAGTTAAGGCTTCTCAAGCATTGTGATCTTCAAAGTCCAGATTTAGTTTTGAAACGACTACAGGGACTCAATAAACCAAAGAAGGAAATAGATAAGAGAATTACTTAGCAGGGATAAGTGCAAGATAGGAAATAGCAGAAGGGAGAATCTGAACAAGAATGTAACCACCAATTAGCACGGCCGTCATCCCCTTGCACAGCCTCGTGAAACCCGTAAGCATATTGTTGTTGCTCATCTTCCTCAAAATGTACCTGCAATAAGGATTCAAGTTCAAGAGCGGTTTCCCAATTCATACGCAAAATTCCAGATCTGATGATGAAAAGCCGATACAATGGCAAGCACAAGGACGCGTGTTCGACCTGAGATGCGATCTATGGATTAGCGGACTAACCTATGTTCGAAGTGGCGTTTTTAAGAGTAAGTGGAAACTGAAAAAAGGAGTTAAATACAGAAAGCTCTGTTCTTTTGGATTGTAGTCCGGAATTCGGGAAGCCTAAGGCTTTGCCGTGTAAGGTAACAGCGAGGATGAAGAGGACTGGAAAGCTGACGTGATCTAGAAATGAAGACTAGGGTGATCCTAAAATCTCAGAGTTCCATCACAATGTTATTAGAAAATATTAAAAATAATAATCTCAACTATTGCCGGTCCGCTAACAATAATCCCAATTATTGATTATTTTTGTATAATCCCAACTATATGGACCATCCGCCAATAATGGTCCATGACCAAATATTACCTTCTATAAAAGTGAATTTTAAAGGAAAATTTGAAAATAATAATCCCAACTATCGCCGGTCCGCCGACAATAATCTCAACTATTGATTATTTTTGTATAATCCCAACTATATAGACCATCCGCCAATAATGGTCCATGATCAGATATTACCTCATATAATAAGTGAATTTTAATAGAAATTAAGCGTAAAAATTAAAAGTTGAGATTATTTATAGGGATTACTTGCTATATCTCTTCTCATCCACTTTAGAAACTACAAGAATTTATTTATAGGGATCGTTATTGGCGGAAGGTCCCTAAAGTTGGGATTATTATGAAATAATCGATAGTTGGGATTATTATAAGCGGACCGCCAATAGTTGGGATTATTACTATCAATTTTTCCAATTTTAAATAAAAATTAAGCATAAAAATTAAAAGTTGTGATTATTTATAGAGATTACTTGTTATATCTCTTCTCATCCACTTTAGAAAGGACATGAATTTATTTACAGGGACTGTTGTTGGCGGAAGGACCCTAAAATTGGGATTATTCTGAAATAATCGATAGTTGGGATTATTATAAGCGGACCGCCAATAGTTGGGATTATTACAATCAATTTTTGCATGTTATTAAGGTTTTAGGCTGTGTTTGGTTTATCCCTGACATACCAGTTCAGTTTGACCAAACTCAAATGACTGGACGTTTTAATCGGATTGATATTTTGTGTTTGGTTTAGTGATTTTAGGCCTAACTAATATAGTCGAGTTTGTATACCGTACAACCGGATGTACAGCTTGCACTATACAACCGGCGGCAATTTAGTAATTTAAGTGAAATTTATGACTTCAGGTAAATGAGCAGTAATACAGGTTTAATGAGCATCGGATCTATTCCTTTGAGTATTAAGAGTCTAATAATGAACATAGTAATCTCTGTTTCATATCTTGTCATTCACTTTTTTTTCTAATTTTTTAAAATACCAACAATTAACCCGTATGAGTCCAATATGTGAATCTAATCTAATGCTCCGTATGATAATTATGAAATAGGTGTGAATATAACATTTTAAAATGAACATTACACAAATATCAAATGTGCATATATAACTTACGAAATGAGTATCGGAAAATTCAAAAAGCTCATTTAAATCTATAGTATGCTCAAATTTTCATTCGTGTGTGCTCATTTGAATATTCTAACATGCTTAAATATTCATTTATGTATGTTCAATTGTTTTAATCGGAATGCACAATTATTATTAACACTATACTCATTTTCAATATAACATACTCCCTCCGTCCCATTATGAGGTTCTCACATTCCTTTTTTGGACGTCCCATATAAAGGTTCTTATTTCCAGTTTAGGAAACAATTAATTATCTTAAGTGACAAATTAATCATTAAATATTAAAAATAATACATTTATAACATCACATTTATCAATACTATCTATATTATAATATCCTTTCAAAAAAACTACATTATAATATATACCTATTAAAATTATTTCTAAAAATATACTCGAAGTACTTTATTTAATTATTTTCTAAATAACCGTGCCGTTTTGCTATGGGAACCTTCCAACGGGACGGAGGTAGTAAAATTTATGTTGATAATTAACAAGTTGAAAATGTTAACACACAATATTAAAATATACGTAGTAATATTCAAGTACAATATTAAATATCATCTTAAAATTGGAATTAGTCCTCCTGCGATGTGAGAACAAAGCCACAATGTGCACGATTCTCCTTCATCAACATAGGTCTACTTCAGCAAGCAACTTCAGCGTCCAGCGAGCGATGAACAGACATCGATCGCCGTTTACTCCCACCTCCCAGGATCTCAGTGGCAGCATGAGATGGAAGAACAAATTGCCTAACCTTTATCACCGAAATTGTAATTAATTGTAAAAATACTCGGTTGTATGGTGAGCATTGTACAACCGGGTGTACGGTATAATTTAATGATATAGTCTAGTCGGTTTATGTTTGATCTAGTTTGTTTTAGTTTGATCTGATCTGATATGTGATTGGACTAGAAGAGTTTGGGTCTAACAGGTACCATCTGGTCATGGACCGGACCAGACAAGAACCGTCGGATCATCGACCAAACTGAACAGGGACCGCTGGGTCATCTACCAAACCAAACAGGGACCGTCGGATCGTGGACCGGATCTGACAAGAACTGCCGGATCATTGACCGGATCGGACATGGACCGTTGGGTCACCGACCGGACCATATAAGGACTGTCGGGTTAATGGACTGGACCGGATTAGAGCTAACACCGAAGCGGGACCAGATCCACAACTAGGTGTAAATATGCAACTTCTTAGTAGCGACACTGCATCATTCGTGTTTTCCAAATTTGGAAAACTAGTAAAACTCACTTCTCCAATTCATTAAGGAAAAATAGAGACTTATCTCATTATTTGGTTTTGAAAAACGATTTGGTAAATGCATTTGTCTGTTTTCCTTTCTCCAGTTTTCCTGCACGAGTTTTTGGTAAAGACGTTTTCTGTTTTCTTTTTTCAAGTTTTCCAGTTTTATGGAAAACTAGAAAATATTCCTGTTAGTAAACAAGCCCAGTTATTATATTGTCGATGACAGTATAGTCTCCTATTTAAAGTTTGGTAATGTTAAAACATGGCAATAAATTTTCAGTGAGAGTAACGTACTCTTACAACAACAACAACAACAACAACATCCAAGCTTAGTCTCAAAAGAGTTTAGGGAAAAAACATAATACTTCGACTTTCCATTTTTACATTGCTTTTACTCATATTTCGGGAATATTAAAATATCAATATTGCGGCTTACTGGACTGCATTAACTTAAGTACTGAGTAGTTGATAATAATTACTCTCTCTGTCCCCTTACGATTCTCCCATTTTTCTTTGTGTTCGTTCAACTAAGTTTGTCCTATACTATATTTAGTAATATGTGTGTTGTGATTTATTGCCATTTCATTCAATAGCTTCACTCCTCACATGATATTGTTGTTTATTGTTGGATTTTATACTGAGAACATATTCAATTGAGTTAAATGTTTAGGGGCTCTTTACTAAAAGAGATATTTTCCAGTTTTTTCAGAAAATTGAAAAACTGGAAAAAGGAAAACATAAAACGTGTTTACAAAAAAAAATTGCTGGAAAACTGGAGAAAGAAAAACAGAAAATTGTGTTTACCAAATAATTTTCCAAAACCAAAAAATGAGATATCTCTATTTTCTTTAATGAATTGGAGAATTGACTTTTACTATTTTTCCAAATTTGAAAAAAGCGGATGCTGCAGTACCGCTGCAATGAATTTGCATACTTAAGCCTAATGTTAGATCCGGCCACGCTCCAGTGTCAGTTCAAGTCTGGTCCGGTCAACGACCCGACGGTCCCTATCTGGTCCGGTCAACGACCCGGTGGTTCGATCCGATCATTGTCCGACACTCCATGTCCGGTCTGGTCGATGACGGTGCAATCCCGATTGAGTCCGATTGACGACCCGACAGTCCTAGTCCGGTCGATGACCCGATGATCCTAGTCCGGTCCGGTTGTTGACCCGACGGTCCCTGTCTGATCTAGTCCACGATCAGGTGGTACTTGTTTGGTCTGATCGATGGATAGGCAGTCCTGGTCCGATCCAGTCTAGTCAACGACTCGATAGTCCTCGTCCAGTCCGATCAATGACCCGACGGTCCCCGTCCAGTCCGATCAATGACCCGATGGTCCCCATCCTGTATGGAAAATGACCCGACGATATGTGATCGGTCCGATCAACAACCGGGCGGTCCCGAGCCAGTCCCGTAAATGATCCAGCGGTCCCTGTCTGGGCCGGTCGATGACCCGACCATTCAGTCTTGATTTTTCGAAATCATTTTTAAAGTGAAGAGTTTTAAAAGAGTCGTTGAGTTGTCAACCAATAGGAAAGTGGGAAATGTGTTCATCATACTAACTGTTGAGATCGACCGAGACCGGCGGGTTTCGGTTTGAGTTTCCTATACGTGGGACCCAGTACCGTACTAGCGTACTTGGGTTGTACTAGGTTCTGTTCAGATTGGGATCATACTCAGTCTTTTGGTTGGTCACATAACCGAGTGAAAAAATTGTATGAACTTGTTTTCAGATTTGAAAATGGAAAACTAAAAAATGAAAACAAAAAATTAGAGATAGAAAAACTGAAAAATGAAAAAAGAAAATTGGAGAACGGAAAACAGAAATACAAAATGGAAAAATATTTATGTTAATAAACAGACCTTACTATCTGGACTAATTTGATCTTGTCCATTTAGGTTTGAACTGCTCTAGCATCATGTGTACTTTGTTCTTATCGAAATGCGATTTCATGTATACTAGTCTCATTAGGTATATTTTGATATGATTTGTCTAAGTTTGATCTCATTCGAAACGATCTTATATGAAAATATAATAAATCAATTGAACAATTCCCAAGTTCAATATGGATAACCATCTCGATACTAAGAATTAATATAAAATGATCATCTTTACAAGTAGGGAAACCCCTCGATTTGGTCGTCGTACTTTCATGAAAAAGTCAATTAAGTCTTCTTATTTTTAAAAAAATCAATCAAATCCCTAAACTTTATAAAAATGTTCAATTGAGTACATTTGCAGATTATTTGCCATGTCAGCAGGTCACCCGCTGACGTGGCGTACACATGGAGGTCCACATGTGTGGCACATCATCAGCAATTGACTGACTGGACTTCCACATGTGTGCCACATCAGCAAAATATTGCCGATTGGCTGCCACATGTGTGCCACGTCATCGAATGACCTGCTGATATGGCAAGTAACTTACAATTGGACTCAATTGAACGTTTTTACATAGTTCAGGGATTTGATAGATTTTTTTTTTAAAGTATGAGTACCTAATTGATTTTTTCATGAAAATACGATGACCAAATTAATAGTTTTCCCTTAAAAGTACTCCTATTTTTTTCAACTTCCAATAAATGATAGGTGTTGTGTCAGTCTTGTGGGCGTTCTCTTGGACTATCATTCATATGCATACATAGCATGATACACACACGATCCTAAGGATTATTGTCGGGGATTTTACTCAGAACTGAGTGTTCTGGCTTGTGGTCACACTCATAATCCAGATGAACAAATGCGCGCTCCACTTCTGGTAACTCTTCAATTTTTATTTGCAACGACTCTCCTATCGCGTGCGCTTCAATGAGCGGCAACTCTTCAGGAAGCTCTATGTCCACCTACAACGAACATCCCACATTCAAAGATTCAAAATTCACAAGTTGTGACAATAGTAGATAAACAGAATAATTCTTTCCCATTTTATTTTAATTCTTTCAATTTTCTATAGTTTCTACAAGATATGTCAATGACATTTCTCTCAAAAAACTTTTGACCACACATTTGTGCTTTATTAAAAACCATGCCAAATCACAGTTGACCACACAGTTATAGCTGAAATCATATATTCATACCTCAACGAAGTAGAGAGCACCAAATGTGTACGCTCGAACGGTGTCAACTCGTTTTATTCTGGGGTCGTGCCTCAAGACCATATATGTTAGCTTCTGCAGAACCTCTGGTGAAGCTGACTGTCCAACTAGTGAAACTGCAGCAAAAGTGGAGGGAAGTTGTAGCAGTTGATGTTGTGATAAAGCCCAAGACTGGGATTCTGGAACACTTAATTTAGAGAGTAACAAACACTACATGTTGATTTTAATTTCTTTCTGAATGATATATTGTTCGAACGCAACTATATAGAAGGGCTGTTTTATCAAGGACCGCGAAGAGGAAGAATACCTGCATTTTCCAGGACTGTGGCTGACCAATTGGTAATTGTATAGACAGCAAGGGCTATTGCTCCGGCGGGATCAATCCACCAATAGAATCTATCACCAAGTATGGCAGCTACCAACCCAACAACATTTGTTACCACGTCAAAGTAATGGTCCTATTACGGAAATTCCCAAAAATTAGGATTGTTTGATTTTTGTAAAATCCTTTTAAACTTAGAGTGAATTACCTAAATAGAACAAAAAAGTGATTAAAGAGCACAAATAGGACTACATCTTTTAAATACCCTCCAGTAGGACTAGTTATGTGTGTTTTGACAAATATACCCTTTCAGCTTTTGAAATGTCTTAATTAATAATCAAATCATAAAACATTCAATCGGGAAGACAGTCAAATGATTTTTGGAAGATAACTGCACCCTTTATATACATATAAAACGCAATTATCTTCCAAAAATCATTTGACTGTCTTCCCTATTGAATTTTTTATTGAAATTTGGTATGGATGTACTAGACTTGATGATGAACATACTCAAAAAAATTCATCGAAAAATCCCACCGGGAAGGCCCTCAAAACGTGGAGGCCGCACGGCGGCTCCGGTAAGGTATACCTTACCGGAAAGATTTCCTATATATATATATATATATATATATATATATATAGAGAGAGAGAGAGAGAGAGAATCGGGTACTGTTCTACTCCCTCCGTCCCTATTTGTTTTGTAAAGTCAACTTTTTTTGGTCAATCAATAATATAAGTCAATCCTCCCTATGGATAATTAATTCAATTTTTAAAAATTAGAATATAATTAAAAATTGATATCCTAACTAAGTGAACAAAATAGAACTGTTTGACGTAGAAAAGTCAAATTTGCAAATCAATTTGGGATGAAGGTAGTAGTTCAAAACGGGAAAACAGTTTGGGAGTGTAAAATTAAAGCATCCTGATTTGTTCTGGGTTGAGGTTTTGGTCAATCAATCAATTAAATGTTGATGTGAAAAGGGACCTTAGCATATGCTCGCACAATCTTGTTTGTAGAGCTTCTGCAATAAAGCCACAGCACAAGTTTTATGACAGTAGCGGCTAGCATGATAGTATACAGCCAAAACAATTGGTGTGAACTCATTTTATCTGGTGCCTCGTTTTTAATCAGTTGTTGCACTGCTTCCACCAGCACTTGAAATCCTGCACAAACACACATCAATTTTATCCCCCAACACAGCGAGCAAGCTAAGCTTCTATTTAATGATTAATGATTTGAATCCACATTTTTCGCTCCAGCTGAAATCACATTGTGTTTGTTTTATGAGTTGAAATTTATTTGGAGTCTAGACTAGTAGTAATATAATGGAACAAGCTAGAAAAGGGTACGTACCTAGAGTAGCCATGACTGCGGCAAAGATGATAATGCCCACCGGTTGGACTCTCAACTTTCCAATAGGGTACTTGTAAATGTTAATATTCTTCATTGACACGTGTGTGAACCACAGGATGCCACCTGCCATCAAATCGAGCAAAGAATCCAGTGTGGACGCTGCGATTGCTAGGGATCCGCTCTGCACGGTGGCATAAACCTGCAAAATTATTGGATTTAAACTTTGAAATACATATGGGTATGTAGTAATTTAATGCACCCACAACCAACTATTGAAATCTATAGCAAATAATAAGGAAAAAGGTATACTTTTGATCAATTGTTTTGCTATATGTGCAGTGCAGTGCAGTGCAGCAATTATACACATATATAGCATGGAAAATCCAAATAAAAGTAAAAGTGAGGGACCTTCAAAGCAAGCAAAAAGATGTTTGCGGAATTGGAGATGTTCATGGCCCTTTCATGCTGACCCTCTTCTGATCTCTCCGCCTCTTCTTCGTTATAATGAGAGCAGTGCAGGGAATCAACTTCTTCAAAGGACTTCAAAGTCGCAATTTGTTTTTCGTAGTATTCTTTCTCCCCTTGGAATAAGCCGGAGAGATCGAGATGAAAGGGGGTTTGAGGGTGAAGGCCTCCTCGGAGCTTCTCAGGCAGTTTAGAGAAGAAGTTTGACCTGAGAGCTTCGCCTCCTTCCAACAGTGGCTCTTCCATTTCCTTCCAATTTTTACTCTCTTCTTCACTCACTCAATTCAAAGCGCGCACCACCCGCTTCTTTATATCACAACTTCTACTTGTATCAATTTATACTCATAATTCAATGAAAAGTTCTATTTGTACGCTCTGGTTACACTTATAGCACCGATACAGGTATGTGGAAACGACAAAACCCAAAAAAGTAGGATACGGATACAGAGTCATATTTATAAATATTAAAAGTTATGAGGGTGTATTTATAAATATTAAAAGTTATAGGGGTGTATTTATAAAATATTAAAAAATATTTAATTTTTGAAAAAAGTACACATTATTATCCTCCGACGTCTACCCATTTATGACATTAAAGCATTTTACATTTTCAAAATACTTCGAAATCAATTCATATTTTATCTCATATACACTAGCGCATCTCGAAATATAAATAGTCAATAAGTCATCAATTTAAAATGAGAAATAAGTTAAACAACTACAGTTTTGAAATTAAAAGTGTAAGTACTCAAAGTTCTAGAATAATGAAGATAGAAAACAATATTTTAAAATTTCTAATACATATTTTCGTTGGGGCTATTAATTTTCAAGGATAATTAGAATTAGGGATAAGAGCTAAGATGGGTGAATTAGGAATAGGTCAATTAGTTGTGTACCACATAAAAGCCAGATAATAATTATTTTTAGCTTTACATTTTTTAAGAATTTTATTATGTAACTTTTGAGTCTTTTTTTAAAAAGTGTTTTTGGAAGAACTTTTAAAAATTACATATACAGCCCGGGAACGCCGATACGATACCCTAGTGAAGTATTCGTGCTTCATAGCTTACACCCTATTCATTTATGCTTGACTCGGACAAAAAAATAGCAATACATACACAAAATTTGTCCGTGTGAACAAAATTTGTCCGTGGACATGTTTGTGCACAAAATTTATCCGTAAACATGTCTCGCTCTTTCCTCTTCTCTCTACCCATCTCCTATCTATTTCTCTCTCCGGTATCCCCTCGCCTATTCACTATCACCCTCTTTTCTTTGACTTTACCTTTTCATATTCATTTTTTACATGCACAAAATCCCTTTTATTTCCGCTTCATCTTTTTTACTATCTTTCTATTTTTTTCAAAGTCCATGTAAAACACTAAAATGATCACACATATTTTATTCACACATACAATTAAAGTTGATAATACAAACCCCTGGAGTTGATCATACAAACAATTTAAATTGATCAGACAAATAACTCTTGTCTTTAAGTGGCACAAGTATTGTCAATGTGATAAAATTTATCTGGAAAGTTCATACTTTGGTCATAGAAAAATATTGTCTATGCACAAAAACTATTATATGTGCATGCAGACACTGCATATACAGAGATTGTTTTACATGCTCATATTAACATGTGCATCTTTTAGACCGTTGTCGGTGTACTTTGGCACAATAATTAATGTCTATGTGCACAAACAACTCTTCTATATCCCCACAAACAGTTCCATATAACAACATATACCAATTGTTTTTTGTCGACAATCGTATACACGAAGTGCAAGCATTTGTGCAGCTTTGTTTTGATTACTCGATCATCCTACCAAGTCTAATACCAACATAATCATAGAGCTTAAAAGTTAAAACAATCTTTATTACCCTAACTAGCTCCACGCCACCACCGTGGTCGAAATACAAGGAGGTACAAATTGGGGTATAAACGAGTGAGTCGAGCTCGAACCTATTTATGTTTGAGTTTGAGCTTGATAAGAATGCACTGAATTGAGCTCCAACGAGCTTAATAATTTTGGCTCGAGCTCAATTTGAGCTTGGTTCGTGTTTTGCTAATTAGTTTTTATAGGTTTGACCTCAAGTAGGATGCTGGAACTCAAGCACGAATTCCAGCTAAAATACAATTTCTATTTCCAAAATTGTTAATATTATATTTAAACATACAAATTATACTCCTAATATCTAGTATTTGTACTTTATCGTTCCCATTTTTATGAATTCCTCTCTCGTTCAGTGTATTTTCACTCCTTATTTTACTATTGATTAAATTTTGAAATAAATAAATGAATTGTGTGCATGTACATAAAATTGATAAATTGATAATTTATCAATTTACAAATATACAAAATTCCTAAATGTCCTAAATGTTACTCTTCGGGAGGCGGCTCGGGAGCTCACGAGTTAAAAGGAATTAAGCTTGAATGCAACTCGATTTTATCAACAACTTGTGAATAGTTCACAAGCATCTTGAATCATTTACGACCCAACAAAAGAGAGATGAAACATCATAATCCTCCGCCTGAACTTTCATTGGGACATGCATTATTACTTATCACATTGATTTTGATGGTGGAGGAGAGCTAAAATTTTTCATAATTAGAATTTTGAATCTATAGATTGCCAACTAGTGGTAGGTCAGGTTTCAGTACATGACTCACGATTTCCGTTGTGGAATGAACAGTGTGCATAAGGCCGGTACAGTCCCAAAAATAACTTATACGGGTAGTACATTCGATCATAGAAATCAGGACACTTCCCTAATTTAAGTCCTAACAAAAAGGGAAAATGTTCATATATACCCTTACAATATAGGTGCAAGAACAAATATACCTTTATTCTATTTTTTGGAACAAATATACCCCTAAACTTTGAAAAAGGTGCAAAAATATCCCTCATGTTTTATAAAGGAGCAAATCAATCCTTATGAACTTTAAATTAATAAAATTAATTTCCAAAAACACCAAAAAATTAAAATTACATATTTTGTATGATGATAAATAACCCAAAATTTTGAAAATAGGTAGTGTATGTTTAATTGTGTCCAATTCTCCTTTTTATAGTTAGTAAAATTAATAGGAGAATAATTTTTTGGGAGAATAAATTTAAATTGTGATATTATTAAGGTTAAACAAAATCAAAGAATGTTATTTCAAGAAATGTAACAATGTGTTCAGAATTCCGCAACAAGACTAAAGTTAATATTTATGAATGCAAAATTTCACAACGGAACTAAAATAAAATTAAATACGCTATTTGGTAATTTTTGGGCTATTTAGCATCATAAAATATGTAACTTTATAGTGAAAAAAATGCAAAAATATTTTTGTTTTTACATTGTAGCATATATGCACATTTTCGAAAGAATCTTAAATATATAGTAAAATTTTGAAATAATATTTTATACTAAAAATATTTAATTGCGATATAAAAAAGGGAGAATTGGACACAATAACATTTATTATTTTTTATTTATATATTATATTCGAATTTTTAATTTTTTTTTGTGTTTTTGGAAATTTATTTTATTATTTTAAAGTCAATAAGGATTAATTTGCTTCTTTAGAAAAACATGAGGGATATTTTTACACCTTTTCCAAAGTTCATGGGTATATTTGTTCCGAAAAATAGAACAAGGGTATATTTGTTCCCGCACCTATACTACAAGGGTATATATGTACCTTTTCCCAACAAACAATGATTTTAGGTTTATGGTATACTCAGTAACCAAGACGAAAGCGCATCCTATTTTAGACCAGTACACCAATTCTGATCTAGTGCTTAGAAATATATACTATCATCCGTATCGCATTAGTTGCAACATTGAAATTTATACACTATTCATGTACTCTACTTTGACTACATTTTATTATTATTGTGTGTGAATTATTTTTTTGAGAAATATTGTTGAATTCACCTCATTACTAAGTTTCATAATATGATTTTTACTTATTTTTTACAAATACAGAATTAAGTATAATAATGGTCAAAGTTATGTGTTGACAAACGTTAAGAAAGGAATGTTGCAACTAAAAAAGAACAGAGAAAAAGTATATTGTTTTATTATTATATAATAAAACTGAGTTAAAATCAATGATGTATCAATTTCTTATTGGATTATGCAAATTGTATTATCACTACTATAAAAACAATTTCTTAATTAATTCAAGGTTCATCACTGCCATTCACTCTCTCAAATTGTGCATCACAGCTGATTTGGAGCAAGGGAATGAGAAAAAATCTCTTTTTTAAAGTGATATCACTTTTATATTTATAATCCATTTTTTACAAAATATCAAAATCCATATTTTTTTAATCTTTCATAAAACACCAATACTGGGTGTATAAAAATTAAAAAATCATCTATTATTTTGTATAGCAAAACTATAAAACTTCTACTATCATTGCTATAAAAACATTTAATTCATATAAGTTGACTCGATTCACCATTGTTGTTCACTACGTGAATCACTATTCATTTGGAGAATGGGAAGGAGAAGAATATTTATCTTTAGAGTGTTATAACTTACCTATTTATACTCTAATTTTTACAAAAAAAAAATACATCAAATTTATAACTTTTTATATTATGATCTTTCATGTGACACCAATATTGCAAATATAAAAATAAAATATATTAATAATATAATATAATTGATGTAAAAATCAATAACGTGTCAGCCTCTTATTGGTTAATAAAAATCTTATTATCATCTCTACTACAATATTTAATCAATCCAAGTTAACTCGGTGAAGGAGAAAGTGAAGTAGAAAAATCTTCTTTTAAAGTGCTATAACTTTTCTATTTGTACTCCATTTTTTCAAAACTTATATCAAAATTCATAACTTTTTATGATCTTTCATATGCAATCGAAAGTGCTAAACCTTTTTTTTTAACAAAGACACAAATTCATTGATTTAAAATGAAAGTGAACAAAATTTTTGGGACAAGCAAAAAAGATAGTTGACAAAGTCCACTGGGACAGATGAAGTACCAAATAAGGATTTTCCTTTTATATTTCTTGTATGCTTTAGAATAATTAAAGAGTGACAAAGTATTGATTAACCATCATTAGATTCATGAAATAAAAAAATAATTCATATTTACAAAGGTACCTCAAATAATATAATTAGTGATTCTAAACCAATTTATTATATAAAAATGTTATTAACTAATTCTCTAAATAATTCACAGCATCTATTAATATTTATCATTTTAATTCACATTAACATGACACTAGTTATACAATATTTCTTTGTAATTGGTTCTTTGAGACTGTAGTTGGCATGGTTATGGGATAAATTTGTACTGGTTCTCACTTAAAACTTACTACGTATATCATA